AGGATAACCTCAACTTGGATGTGGAAGAATCTTGGGATCCCAATGACAAAGACTGGTGTGAGACTGAGGTAATCGAATTGTGTGTTGCCCCGAATCTGAGTGAATTGCTGCCATTTGTGCACATTCTTCTACCATTAATTAATCAAATAGAACACCACATAGTTAAAGCTTAATCTGGATAAATAGGGCTTACAGGCAAGGTCAAATACTAGTTGCAGTATATGGTAATCAGAATAGGAAAAGGGAAAAAAGAGTAAACTAATTACGAGACTGGAAGAAAATAAGTGGATGGAGACACTGAACTTGGATGAGTTTGATATTGAAGTTATGTTTTGCTGATAATTCATTGAAGTTAGGAAACGTGATGGCCCAGTTGGATGTTTTGTAAAAAGTAGTTAAAGTCTCTGGATAGCTTGGGAGAAATGCTCCAAAGTACACTCTATTATCTAGTCTCTTTTTATGACACCAGACTCCTTTGTAGGAAAGTGACCAGCCATTGCTGATCTACTGCTAATTACTTGATACCATCTCAGATTTTAGGTAATTATTTGGCATATCCTGAACCTATTGCTTATGTCAATGTGGGGTTAAACTGAATAAATAGTAGTTTTAGATAAGAGCTCGCTTACTTATATCAATCTTTCATCTGCTGGAAGCACTGTTCCATGATGTTCCAAAATAAGGGGCATGTTTTTTGTTTCTCTCTCTCTTTCTTTAACTAGTGTGATAAGGTAGAAGTTCTCTTTTTGGCTGGTTTGGTATGCCTTATACGTGGAGGACCACCAGTCTTTGGCTGACAGCCCTTTTTCTCAGCAGTTTGTCCTGAACTGGACACTCTCAGTAGTATCCCACAAGAGCACATTGTTTACAATGGGTTTTCAAATATTTTTTTAAAAACTATGGAGCATTTTTTGTCTGACAAGGAAAATTCATCTGAAGAAGTGGGCTGTGCCCATGAAAGCTCATGATACCATCTACGTTTTTGTTAGTCTATAAGGTGCTGCAAGACTATTCGTTGTTTTTTAAGTTTTTCCAGTTACAGACTAACACAGCTACCCCTCTGAAACTCAAAGGTGAAGGATCCTCTCTAAAGCAGGTAATGCCAACAGCCATCTGACATAACTGTATCCCAGTATACTCCAATATTCTTGTTCTACATGCTCACAAAAACTTTTAGGTCTTTCCATACTGTCACATTGTAAGTATGCCACATCCAAAGGCAGTGAAGCCTAATGGCCACAATCTATAACACAGCCCTGGAGTTTAAGGCAGCACAGCCTAATGGCTAGAGTCTCAGGTGTTTCAGGAAGCAGCCCCAGTTGGGGGATCCAGGCCCACCCTACTCTACCAGGCCACAACTCAAGACCCTGTCATTTGGGGAGTGAGCCACCACTCACTCAGCAGGGAATCCCACTGCAACATAGTGAGCTTGCTCAGGTGAAAGATACTACTCACTCACCCTCCCTGGGTCACTTCCTACCAGTTCTAGCATTGCGGTGATCCACACAATTTCTGTGCCATCAGGCTCTATGGTACCAGTCTCATGCTGCAGCTGCCCCAGGTCTCCAGCTCCCATTATCGAGGCTTCTGGCTGGTCTGCCTCTCAAGCTCCTCCAGCAGGTCCTTCCTCTTCAGCTAGGCTGAGCTGAGCTGTTCCCTTTTATGCTACCCCAGTCATAGGAGCATGCCCAGTATGGCTGGGGGATGGGATTTCCTCCACCCACAAGCATTAAATCTTCCTGGCCCAGTGCCAGGTATGCACATCCTGTCACACATACCAAGAGTGAATATATGAAAATACCAAAAAATTTCAATTGGAATGTGTTCAATGTTTACTGGGATTGAGACTCCCTTGCTATTCGTGCTTGCGTGATGTGATCAAAGCATCCAAGGTCTACCACTTCCCTTTTTAAACTTATCTTTATATTATTGTGCACATTTTCTTTTCCACATCTGTATATGCTACCAAAGTTTGTGTTTGTATTATTTACTAAGAATGCTACCATCTTACTTTTGATTCCATACTTACTCATAATATTTTTATCTCAGCTGCAGTAAGTTCTCATGTCTCTCCTTTAGGTTCAACAAAATCCACAAATTTGGTTTGCACACATGAAAAGCCTTCATAAACCTTGAAAATGTACATAAAGGAAGCAATTTTACATCTGTGCTTTAATACATTTGCAGAAATTGACACATATTCAACATATTTCACATTGTTAATTAGTTCATCATTTGCCCATGGAGCAACAACATTTGCGACTACAGGTTCGACCTCTATACTCTGGACCTCCGTAATCCAGCCCCATCTGTGATCCGGCATACTTGTGGGTGCTCCACGATCAGCAACTTTGCCCCCAGACTCCCAGAGCTCCTGGAGCCCCCACAATAGTTTGTGGTGCTCAAGATCCAGAAGGAAAGGAGGAAGGGGAAGAAGGCAGGATTGGGGGCAACATTTGCGACTACAGGTTCGACCTCTATACTCTGGACCTCCGTAATCCAGCCCCATCTGTGATCCGGCATACTTGTGGGTGCTCCACGATCAGCAACTTTGCCCCCAGACTCCCAGAGCTCCTGGAGCCCCCACAATAGTTTGTGGTGCTCAAGATCCAGAAGGAAAGGAGGAAGGGGAAGAAGGCAGGATTGGGGGTGGGACTTGGTGTGTTCATGCAGGTGTGCGATCCTGGCCCCACCCACAGGACTCCACTGTCACCCTGATTCTTCCCCTGAGCGTCTTCCTTCAGTCTCCACTTGGTCAATGCTGGCTACCGTACTGCTGCTGGAGAGGATGCCCGCAGCCGGTGGCAGCAGAGGGGCTGGCATTGACTTCTCCTGGACCAGCAGATTCCCTGGTATGGGACTGGTCAGGTCCTCAGGTTGCTGGGCCAGGGAGGTACAACCTGTTTTTCTTCACACTTTGTCAGAGAACAAAGAATTTTGGGTTTCTGAATTTTTTTTAGTGAAATTGGAAATATAGGCCATTGACATGAAACTGTGATTATGTCTAATAGGATATGCATTTATTCCTTCCTGAAGAAGCAAAGTCATACTCTATTTGCTCAACTTTGTGGAAAAAACTGCTAAAAGTAGTTGAACTAGCACATGCTAGAGCAGCTTTATATTTAGCAGCACCTTCCTCTTCTTTTGTAAATGTCTCCACTCATGGAAAATATCGAATGGCACATTGCACATAATACAATTGTTTTGCTTCCAGATTATATGGAAAAATATGGAAAATCATTTGAAAGCTGGTTAAGCAACATTTATGCCTTTTGGAAAACACCATTTTCACTTTCCACTGAATCTCAAATGTCTTCTACCTGATGCCCTACGCAGCCATTGCACCTCTATCACAGCAAATAGTAACAACAACAGAAATAACTTAAAAAACAAAAACTGAAAGGCTACGTCTACACTGGCCCCTTTTCCGGAAGGGGCATGTAAATTTCACCAGTCGTCGTAGGGAAATCCGCGGCGGATTTAAATATCCCCCGCGGCATTTAAATAAAAATGTCCGCCGCTTTTTTCCGGCTTTTAAAAAAGCCGGAAAAGAGCGTCTAGACTGGCCCCGATCCTCCGGAAAAAGTGCCCTTTTCCGGAGGGTCTTATTCCTACTTCTTATTCCTACTTATTCAAAGTAGGAATAAGACCCTCCGGAAAAGGGCACTTTTTCCGGAGGATCGGGGCCAGTGTAGACGCTCTTTTCCGGCTTTTTTAAAAGCCGGAAAAAAGCGGCGGACATTTTTATTTAAATGCCGCGGGGGATATTTAAATCCCCCGCGGATTTCCCTACGACGACTGGTGAAATTTACATGCCCCTTCCGGAAAAGGGGCCAGTGTAGACGTAGCCAAAAAGTGTAAGTTTACCCTGTACAGACTAACGAGGCTAGTTAGTTGTTCTGAACAACAGAAATGTTCTGGATGGAGCTAAGGCCTGACACAAATTCTCCAACACAGGCAAGGTGATTGCACCACAACGGTACGTGGGAGGAGTGTTGTGAACGCCGGGACTCTTCTGGGGACCTTGTTGGCCTGGGGATACAGAACCTCCTTCAGGGACAGTCCCTAGGAAACACGGACATGCGATGACTTGTTAGGGCAGGACCTGCAGCACCTGCCCCCAGCTCAGCGGGGGGCTGTTTCCCACTGGGAACCAGGCCGGCTGGAGCTGAACGCAGCTGCCTGCCCCGCCTGGGGAGGGTGCAACGGGCGGGGTCGCTGCCCGCCTTCACCCCACGCGCCAAGACTTGGCGCTGCCCCAGGCTGGGCTGCACAGAGCGAGCAGCGCGCGCGGGGTGAGATTAGAACGGCCGTTAGCACGTGCAGGAAACACCCCTACTCCTCCCCTCCCCCTGCGTCACCCCGGCACCAATGGCACAGACGCTGCGCTCAGGCGGGACAAGGCGCGCGCGCTACTTTAAGAAAAGGGCAGAAACGTTCGAAGCGGCGAAAATGTCACGCACGCGCACAGAAAACGCGACCTGCTTTCTCCCCCCCCCATTACAACATTCCCCCGCCTATGACGTGGTGACGTCATTGCGTGGTGCCGGCCGGGCTCGCGCGTCGCGTACACACACGCACGAGTCCGTCCGGCTTGTGACTCCTCTGTCCTGGGCTTTTGTGCAAGGGGCTGTTCTCAGTGAGGGGACCGCCCGGGGCGCAGCCTCTCTCCTTCCTGCGGGCTCCTCCCCCGCCCCACTCACCTCCGGCTCGCTCGGAACCGCAGCGCCCCGCCCCCTCCTGTCCGGAGCGCGCGCCGCATCCTCCTCGTGCCAGACAATAGCAGCGCCGAGTGTGTCTCACCCAAAGCGGCCCCCCGGGCTCCAGTGCCCACCTCCATGAG